AACATGCATTGCATTGCTTAGTTTGGGGTGTCAAACCAAGTGTGAGGGGGGAGAAGTGTTCATACTACAAGTGATGTAACGCGTCTCAACTCTCAGTCATCGAGGCCCTTGACTTTGGCATGATAGGGTTTTGGTATTCATTTATATGTTGCATGCATTTTCATTGAATTGCAACCTTGGCTTCTTAGGCCATCACGCATCAAGATGGATGATTGATGGCCCGAGGGTCGAGGGTCATGCTCCCTTGAGTCCCTTGCATGATAGGGAGTGTACTCGCGCATACATTTGCTTGAAATTCCATGCCATACACTGTCTGTCCATGTTGTTGTCAAAAACCAGTTTCTGCAGGGAGTTTTTGCCGACCGGCACTGTAGAGTGCCGACCGGCCATGGATTGGTGGCCTATAATATGAAACCCCAGCCGATGGATAAGTTCCATGGCCAGTGGGTATTCCCTTCAGCCGAAGGTGTCCTACAGGGTTCAGGGAACCTGTCCCAGGATTTTGGCAGTTTTCAGAGAAGCAGGGCAGTGTAAACAGAGGCAGCAGTGGTATGGTACGGGCTTCTGGGGCAAGATAAATCCGAGCATGCATCATTCACGCATTCCGAGGTGGGGGCTGCGGCCATCTTCTCTTTGCATTTAATTTGTTAATTAGATTAGAAATTTTGTAATAATTAATTTAGTATTATTTATTCGGACTGTAATATTTATTTGGACCCTCCGAGTGAGGGCAATTGTGTAATAAGTGTGGGTGCGTGTGTGCATGTGTTCCAACCCCCACTTCTTTCTCCCTTTTATTTACCCGCTTATGATAGTAGACTAGGACATATTTAAATTAGCATACCTTATGCTATGCATGCGTGCATCCACACATTTGTCTTACATGCATCGGGCTCGGCGCATCACTCTAACTGCATTTGTATTTTAATTTCAAATTGAATACGTGTTAGTTGTAGCATTTCACATGTCATTGTAGATTAGTCGAGCCTATCTTAGTTGCATCCCGCATGTGTTACATTAGCCATCTTAACATGAACTAGGATCATGCATATGATTACTAACTAGTTTCTGTTTTGGCTTGGAGTACCCTGTAAGTCCTTTTGCTTTAGCATACCTCATGCGTGTGAGTGTTGCCATAATTGCATGATTACCATAAGGCTAGCTGCTTATGTGATATAACTGCTTGAATGCCTGTGGATGAAGGTCGAATTGCTTAAATTGGGATAATGCATTAAAACTGTGAGTTTTAAACCCACTCGATAGTGGCAAAACCATTTTTTCTAAAAGTCCACTTGAGGGTGGCAAAACCTGCATTTTAGCCTACTTGCGAGCAACAAACCATTTTCAAAACAAACATGTTATGTTTTGTTCCAATTTAGGCGATTTGGTCTATACTTGTTTGCTGTGCGCATAACATAGTAATTCTAGGCTAATAACCGGAATAAGAACACATAACGTTTTCAAAATTGGATATCATGGTTAGTAGAGGCTGATCTTTGGATCGGGCGAGAGGGGGTGCTCATAGCTGACCTTCCCCAATCGTACCCAAGTTCCCGAGCCGAGGCAACTTTGGTGATGACGGACACGTGGCCTTTGGCACCGAGTCAGGGTTTCCTAAATTCCCCCAAAATAAAATATTTAGGTGGCGACTCTGTATCTGGCAAAGCAGACCATGTTTGGCACTTCTTTCAAAAATCTGTTTTCTCAAAACGATTTGCCAGATTTGGACTCTTTGGTTCAGATTAAGAACCGTGACACAAATCGAGTCCGAACTGTAGTGGGGTCCCTCACGGACGTGTTACACTTCCTCTATACTATCATTTTTTTTTTTCAAAAAAGCCCTCAAGTATGTATATATCTTTGTCATTTTGATATTTTAAGTTCTAATTTTTTTATTTTTGTCTTTAATTTTTTTCATGCATGCTTTCTCCTCTTTCAGGTAGGGAGAGTTTAAAATTAATTATGGTTTTTTGTTACCCCACTTTGAAATTGGTTTTATGGTTGCCTTCTTGTTACAATGCCACCTGCTTACTGTTTTAGTTGCACTTTTTTTTTATAATTATATTATTATATGGAAATAATATTACTATATTGCTTGTTTCAACTACCTATGTTAATTCCCCTTATGCACATAGGCTTTTAATTTAGCTCTTTTTATTGCGTTATGAAATTTTATGGCAGTCACAGCTTTTTGGTTAAAAGAAACAAGGGAATTGAGCTTGTAATTTATTCTCCTTTGTATTACTATTTATATGCTCTTCACATATTGTTGATTTATACATGTATCTTCTTGGATTTAGCTCTCATAAAATGATAGTAATCACTTTGCTTGGTTAGAGTTTTTCAAAAACAAGGGTTTGGGACTACCAATGATCTATCTACCTAAATATCTAAAATCAAGATTTATCCATTTAGAATTTTTTGAGGGGGTGATTGTATGGTGATGAAGAATTCGTAGAATCCCTATATTAATGCTTAATCTGATGTTTCTTTTGCTTTGATGATATGGTCTGATCTAATCCTGATTTGTTTGATTTGATTATATTTGTGTTATTTGGAAATGTAGATGCCAATTCGATTGATTGCATTGTTAAATTTGTTTTGATTCGCTTGTTTTATCAAAGTCGAAAATTGTAGCATTATGTTTCCTATTTTTAGTATATCCTATTGTTTAAGCTTTTACCTTCTCTTTTTTTTTTTCTCTTTCTTCTTTAGTTCTTTTGCACCATGGATAGGAGTTGGATGCAACTTCATAATAGAAAGTCACCTCAGTGCATTGATGGGGTGAGGGAATTTATCTTGTTTGCTCGTGATCATATGAAACCAGGGGCAGATAAGATTTGGTGTCCATGTTATAGATGCAACAACCATATTCAAAAAACCATAGAGGAAGTTGAAATTCATTTGTATACATATGGGGTGGTCATGAGTTACACTAGGTGGGTGTATCATGGGGAAGGTTTTGAGTTGAATGTTAATGATGACTCACAAAATGAAAATGACGAATATCTCGACAATGTGACAGAGAAGTCAAATAGTCCTAATATTGAGGTGCGAGAAGTTATTCATGACATACGAAATGGAACAACCACATTTGGTTATGTGGGAGAAGCATCTAGTAGTCGTAATCCTGACTTACCAAGTAGTTGTGTTGGAGAAACAAATAAATTTGCAAGATTAATGAGGGATGCGGAAGCAAGATTTGTATCCAGATTGCCAACGATTCTCCAAACTATCATTCATGGTTAAGTTGCTACATCTAAAGATATTTAATAGATGGAGCAACAAATCACTCACGATGTTGCTGGAATTGTTGAATGAGGCACTTCCCATTGGTGAAACGCTTCCATGCTCTTACGATGAGGCTAAACAAATAATTCGAGATTTGGGCCTCGATTATCAAAAAATACATGTATGTAAGAACGATTGCGTACTTTTTTGGAAGGAGTATGAAAATGAAGATGAGTGTCCTACTTGTAAAGCGCCAAGATACAAAGTTCGTAGAGGTAAAGGTAAAGGTAAAAAGATCCCTCACAAGGTTCTGCGATACTTTCCTTTAAAACCAAGGCTACAAAGGCTATTCATATCAAGGAAGACGGCTACTGATATGAAGTAGCACAAGGATAAACGTGTAGAGGAGGAAAATGTATTGCGTCATCCGGCTGATTCTGAAGCATGGAAAGACTTTGACAAAAAGCATGAGTCTTTCGCCAAAGATCCACATAACGTTAGGCTCGGACTAGCTAGCGATGGTTTTAATCCGTTTGGAAACATGAGTAACTCATATAGCATATGGCCGGTTTTTCTTGTCCCATACAATTTACCACCATGGAAATGTATGAAAGATCCATTTTTTATGATGCCTTTGCTTATTCCTGGGCGTAGGGCTCCCGGGTTTGACATTGATGTGTTTTTACGGCCATTGATAGATGAGTTAAAGGAGTTATGGGAGGTAGGGGTAGAAACATACGATGCATCAAATGGCCAAAGTTTTCAATTACGTGCCACATTGTTATGGACCATCAACGATTTCCCTGCATATGGTAACTTATCCGGTTGGAGCACCAAAGGGAAATTAGCTTGTCCTTCATGTAATGAGGATGCATCTCACCAATACTTGCATCATTGGAAGAAAACTTGTTACACGGGGCATCGTCGTTTTTTGCCGCATAATCATGTTTTACGAAAAAGCAAGGCATTCAATAGTGAACCAGAGCATAGATCGGAACCCAAGTTGTTGTCTGGGGAGGAGGTTTTGGGACAATTGGAGCATCTTTGACTCGACAGTATTTGGGAAGATAGATGAACGTGGGAAGAAGCGAAAACGTTCTCCTCAATATTTAAATTGGACAAGGAGAAGCATCTTCTTTGAGTTACCTTATTGGAAAACCCTCAAAGTTCGACACAACCTCGATGTTATGCACATTGAAAAGAATGTATGCGATAGTGTGATGGGAACATTGATGAACGTTAATGGAAAAACCAAGGACTCATACAAGGCTCGTCTTGATCTAGTGGCTATGGGTATAAGGCCTGAATTACTCCCAAGGCAAGTAGATGGAAAAACCTACCTACCCACTCCTTGCTTCATGCTCTCTCCAACTGAAAAAAAGAGTTTTTGTGAATTCTTAAGTACAATTAAGTTTCCATATGGCTATGCATCAAACATATCACATTGTGTGAGCACTAGTGATTGTCGAATTACAGGGTTGAAAAGCCATGATTGCCATGTTATCTTGCAAAGATTGCTTCCTGTTGCCCTACGTGGATATTTGAAAAAGGATGTGAGCAAGGCTTTAATTGAGCTTTGCTTGTTCTTTAAGGAGTTATCGGCAAAAACATTGAGAGTCGATGTCTTAGAACAACTTGAGAAAGATATTGTTTTAGTTTTGTGCAAGCTTGAGAAAATATTTCCACCATCTTTTTTCGATATTATGATCCATTTATGAGTACACTTATCACATGAAGCAATCCTTGCAGGACCGGTGCAATACCAATGGATGTATGCATTTGAGAGGTACATGCATATTCTTAAGGGCTATGTGCGTAACAAAGCCCGTCCAGAGGGCTCTATTGCTGAAGGTTACATTGATAATGAGGCTCTTACCTTTTGCTCTATGTACTTCAACGAAGGTGAGACAAAATTTAATAGACCAGAGCAGAATTATGATGGGCCTATTAAAGCTACACAAGATGGAAATATTTCTGTATTTAAGCAAAAAGTACATGGAATAGGAGCTGCAATTAATGATGTGTTGAATTTAAAAGATTTGAAGAAAGCTCGATGGTATGTGTTGAATAATTGTGATGAAGTTCAACCGTATGTGAGGTAAGAAACCACCATATGATTATATTCACTAGAAAAAATTTCATTGTAAATTCTACTACTTTCACAACTATGTGTCAAATAATGTTGTGTAATAATTTATAGGCAATACATGGATGAACTTGAGAGACAAGGTTTGAGAAATGTTCAAGAGAGGCTGGAATCAGAGTTTCATACATGGTTTCTAAAATACGTAAGAGCTATAAATTTTTAACCTTATTTGTGCATTTAAATAATGTAGCTAAGTATATGCTAATACATTTTACATCATAAATGGAATTAGGTCACAAAGCAACTACTTGAAGGGAACATGGACTCTTCCAATCAACTTATGAACCTAGCCCAAGGTCCTGATAGTCGAGTGACACGATACAGTGGTTGCATTATCAATGGGACCAGATTTCACACTCAAGATCATGACATGAACCGAAAAACTCAAAACAGTGGTGTGGTTGTTAAGGGTGACCATAAAGGAGAAGCTATTGATTTTTATGGAGTTGTTAGAGATATAGTCGAGTTGAAATATCTAGGGAGAAATCGGGTGTTCCTCTTTAAGTGTGATTGGTGGGATGTTGGCAATGAAAAAAATGGAATGAAATTTGATGATTATAAATATGTTAGTGTGAATATTACAAGAACTTGGTACAAGGATGAACCGATTGTGCTAGCATGCCAAGCTGTACAAGTGTTTTATATGAAAGACATGAAATTTGGCAACAATTATCGAGTTGTACAAAGAATAATACCTCGGGAAATATATGATATTCTAGTGAAAAGGGATGAAGAGGAAGAGAAAGACGAAGAGGAAGAAAAAGACAATGATGAACCATACCAAGAATTTGAATCATTTGGTCTTGGAAATGCAGTGCACATGGATGATCAACCCATAGAATTATGCAAAGAGGACATGGAAATGATATGTGTTGATAGTGATGGCGCATTCCATGAGGAGAATCTTGAAGATGATGAAGTCAATGATGATGTGATTGATTATGATAGTGATGATAGTCAATGAAATTTGTTGCTATCTAATTTTCTAAGGCTTTTGAAATTCTGTATATATTGTTTGATTTCGTTGGAAATGCCCCTTTTTTATACTTTCAGTTATATAGGTTGAGTGAAATTAATGTTGTTCTTTTTCTATGTGTTGAAGAGTTCTTGAATTGCCAATATGAATCTTATTTATTTTTTTCAAAAATACAAATCTATACAAATCTACTTGATGTTATTTACTGAATGTGCCATTTTACCAAGGATATTTTGCATCTTTGAATATTAGTTGTGAAAAGGTCCTTGCAATTATGCTTAACTGGAAGTCTGGGACTAAGGAGTGATGATGAATCCACAGGAGTGACATATTTGCATGAATGCTAATGTATAATTAAAGATTACTCTGCAAAACCTTGTTACTCGAAGGAATATTCTTATCTCAAGTTGCATCGAATTAATATTTATAATATTACCAATAATTTACTCAGTTTGATATACTACTTTCTTCTTATAATTTTCCTATAAGGAGTAATTTGATCCACGTGAAAGGTGGTTAAAGAAAGAGGCAGTTTGGTAACTTGCGTTGCACATAAATGTTCATCTGGTAACTTGCGTTGTGCATAATCCACCATATGATTTGTCCATCTGATGACACTTCTGATTGGCAGTGAAACTTGGACCAGATCTGTTGGAATGTTATCAAATGTAATTATTTTTCTTTCTTAATGGCAGGACTATCTTGCAGCACTGGTAACAACTGACTTGGCTTATAGTGTCATCTTAGACCATACTCTTGCGGAAAAGGAGCGCAGGTTTGTACCATGTGCTTAGTTATACTATTGTTAATTAATTTTATTTTATTTTTGTTGGTAAGATATATGTAATCCTATGTAGTTCTTTGAGTGTGCGAATTTTCATTTTCTATTATGATTTTTACACAGAATTTGAAGTTTCTATTGAAATAATTTCACTTGAACAAAATGGAACCTAGCACACTTACAAAAAACTCTGCATGTTATATCCTGGCATTCTGATGATGACAAGCTTTATGCATTGCATGATTCTGCTTAATTTCTGGTTACTTGTACTAAATCTAATGGTATATACTGTTTATTAATATATATGCATAAGTATATATGCAGTGTAGAAATATATGATATATATACCCTCAACTTCTCAACAGGTTTGTCCACAAGAGGCAGAGAACGAGCAGGGTATGTACCTAGACCCCATGCACCTACACCCCATGCATCCACTAAATCAGTTCGCTCATCCACTCAATCAACACCTGGACCCCATGCATCCATTAAATCAGTTCGATCATCTACACTGCACCCATTTACATCAGAATCGATACATGAAGTTACGTCACAAGTTTCACACTCGGATACTTCTAGCACACATTGCAGCACTGATGGTTTGTAAATATTTTAAGTTTATGTTTTGTTTTTGTTGGTGGTTCTCGTATTTTCAATCTATATATTAACATGATACTTTTTCATTGTTTCTAGTAGGCACATCGAAGGGTAAGAGAGGACGTGGGAAGTCACGAAGCCTCAAATTGGCCAAGCTAAAAAATCAAGGGGTGCGACTGCCTATTCAGATTTGTAAGGTTAGTGGACGACCATATGGTGAAGCATCTGAAAAATTTACCAGTGAATTAGGGATTGTCACTAGGCAATTTGCCCCACAAAATGTGCCATCGTGGACTGATATTAGTGAAGAGGATAAAGAAACATTGGTTGCATACCTTCAAGTAAGTGGTACAATTGCTGAGATTTATATTTCCTCTTCGCAAATTATTTTCTGGATAGTATTTCCCCAATAAATTTCCTCTTCCCACATTATTTCATCAAGCATTTTGATAGCACTATTTGCACCATTTATTTGTTTCTGGCACAATAATTAACAAGCACCATAAATAACTTTGAGGGAAGATTTTAATGTGCTTTAATTTTTTCTTGTTTGGTATGACATGAAGGTTTTAACTTTACCAATGAACCCTATGCTATCGAATCTATCCTCAATTTGATGCATGACCGGTATAAGAGCTATCACCATGACCTGCGACAACGCTTTAGAAGTTTCCTTACAATGGAATCTGTCCTTGCAGATCCACCTGAAAACTGAAAACATGGAAAAAGAGACGTGAAAGTTCTTGTGCGAAAAGTGGTCTGACAAGGACTATAAGGTAACGTTGTCAATCTTGTCTCATTTTCTGTCAAACATGGTGGTTTAAATATGAAGTGCCCTAAGCTCCGTGTCATAATATACTATGGTATGAACAGTAATTGTGTTCCTATTAGAAGTTAAATGCCGAGTTTGATGTAAAATACACATCAACTTGCAGAATGCTTGTGAATTTGTTGAATCTTTAAACAAAGAATTTATGAAAGACTACTTTACGCATTAAGAAAAATATGCATATTTTATTTTTGTGACTATATGATTTATTATGATTGGCATGCAAAAGTTTGATTATTGATTTTTAACTTGTGAGATAGAGAATTAGATTTGGTGGTTGTTTTCAAAGATCAGAACCCAACATACATGAAAAATCTTACTATCTGGTTGTCCTCATATGGAGGTTTTTGAATTGAGTTGAGTGTACTGTAGGAGTCACATGCTCGTAGGCTTGGAATCATTATTTTCACAATCATGGACTCAAATTTTCACTAGAATACAATTCGACATTAGTACTTCACTCTGCTAGTCTGCAAGTGAAAGTGATGAAAGCCTACCAACAAACAAGTGTTCTGATTTGGGATGTACTTAACCCATTTCAACCTGCTATCTCTAATTCTATATTTCTTGTAGATGAGAAATGTTTAATAATAAAAGAAACACTTTGTACTCTGACTTATGCATTTAATAATAGGTGAGATGTGACAAGAATAAGTTGAATTGGGAGAAGTTGAAAGTCCTCCACACTGCTGGCTCGAAGGCCTTCAGAAAAGTGCAATATGATGAGGTATTAATTATAGAATCTATAATTTATGTTTTGTGATTGTAATTGAACAACATAATCTATATTGAGGTTTAATGTGTGCTATAAATGGCACAGCGAGACCGTGCCACTGGAGAGGAACTTGGACTTGTTGAGTTGTACAAAAAGACGCATTTTAGTGAGAAAAAAGAGACATGGGTGCATGCTAATGTTAAGATTAGACATGTAAGACATCAATCTTTATGTACTTTCATTCCTTATATCCTTAATAAAATGTGGATGGATACTTAATTTTATTTCAACTAATGAATATTGTAGTACAAGCTTGAAAAGCGGCAGGAGAAAGCTATTGAAGAAGGATCTTGCCCGATATCCGATGAGCAACTTTCTATTGAGGTATTTGGACAAAAATTTGGCTACATACGAGGCTTAGGGCGTGGTCGAAAACCAAGTACAACATTATCTGGAAAACTTACACGTGCCCAACTCGAGAAGGATAATGAGGCTGCTGCAAGGGAGGCCGAAGAGCAACGAAGAATCAATGAGGAGCTGGTGGGAAGAATTCAAATCTTGGAGTCTGATCGCACGGAATACAATGCCAAAGTCGACTTCTTGATGCAGCAGATCAGTCGAAGAGTACCCTCTACTGATTCTTCTTCTTAGTAAGTCATCTTTTCAGAATGTTTGAGTAATTGATATTTGTTTCATTCAATAAATCCGATAAATCTTAGGATATTAATATGATTGGATTGCATGTATATGGTAGTACAGGTTATATATCACTGTGCTTTTAGTATCTTCTGAATCGTTTTCTTCAAGGCAGCAGCACCTGATCTGGGTCCCTTTTTGATTGTTTGTGTTAAATCTGAACTGGGTTTTTGATCTTTTGTTTTGGGGATTCAGCTCTAGGTGCGTACAGGGTTAGGGTTTGATTAAGTTGACTCACGTGGGTTTTGATTTCTTCAAGTGTTTTGTGGTTTTTCAAAAATGTGGAGGGATGCTGGAACTCCTGCTGATTCTTTCTGAGGTTCGACCCAAATGCACCGATGTTCCACCCAAATGCACCGATGTTCCCAAAACCAAATTCCAAATCAAGGTTTGTTATTCTTCAAATGCTAATTGTTTTCTTTGACATACCCATGATTGTTAATTGCTGAATTTCAATCAATATTGTTGAGAACCTAGTCCACATCTAAAATTCCTATATAAGAGCTAAATTTGGTTTTTAAGCTTTTGATGAGGTCAATGGAAATTGAGGTTTAGAAACTCTCTCTAAGCTGAATACATGGCAGCAAGAAAAGCACTGATCA